ATAAACGTTGTTGAGAGTTAAACATAGGTAAACACGAAGCTATTTATAGTATTCTTCAGAAGTGTGAATCACGGACATACTAGGATGAGGTTAACAGAGAGAACAAAATGGTGGGAGATCCGATTGATCTATCTTATGAAGACAGACTTGGTTGCTTCAGCCCATGTCTTTTATCTCACTACAGATTACGAGATTATCCAATACTGACTTGCCGCACATCAGACGGAAATTTCGCTAACAATCTGTCCTACTGTTCCCTTCCATCCAAAGACCGATCGTTTGATAGGAAGATTTAAGAGTGTTCACCAATTGAAATCAATCTCCTATGTCTGGAATTTCGTTTGTCTCACAGAGTAGTGGATTGCCTCCCAGAACATATAATATCGAGACCTTTCGGCAAAATTTAAAAATAAGTTAGATTTTCTCAGTACAAAAGATTTTAAAGATAAAACGGATCATCTGAAATGACAGGAAGATCAGGAAAAAGTAGAGGATACGGTTAGTTATTTTTGGACAGTTTTCATTCAGGAACCTCTTCTAAACGAAAAAATAGAAACAAATACAAAGTCAACAAACCGTCTGCTCAACGTGAACTTCGATCAAGACGATGTACTTAGGGCCCTTAGCACCTTAGATGTGGAAAAGTCAACAGGACCAGATGAACTACATCCCAAAATGTTGAGACACATTGCACAATATATCGCGGCTCCACTGACTGTGATATTCAGTATGTCACTTGACCAAGGTGTGTTACCTATGGACTGGAAGGATGAAGTCGTCACTCCCATACATAAAACAGGATCAAGACAACTTGCATCGAACTACAGACCTGTTAGCCTCACCAGCGTTGTAGTTAAAATATTAGAAAGAATGGTCAAGAATACCATAATGACATTTGTGGAAACCAACAACCTGTCAAACGACGAACGATATGGTTTCTGAAAGGGTTTATCTTGTGCAACAAACCTCTTTATAGTAAGGGAATATTGGATAAATGTGCTAGACAACGGAAACTCAGTAGATGCTGTCTACATAGACTTCAGCAATGCTTTCGACAAGATGCCAACAAATAAACTGCTATTGCAGTTAGAAAATCTTGGTATTGCCAGACCTCATTTAAAATGGCTTAAGGATATCCTGGTAGGTCGTCGATAGAAAGTAAGAATAAATTCCAAGTGCACCACCTGGAGACCAGTACTTAGTGGAGTACCTCAGGGTTCTGTCCTAGGTCCTTTACTTTCTATAATGTATGTTAATGATCTCCCTAGTATAGTACAGTCGTCAGTGTTATTATACGCTGACGATGTGAAAATCTGACGGGAGACGTAGATGCATGCCCACTTCAGGCAGACTTAAATAATATGATTAACTGATCTGAAGAGTGACTGATGCTTATCAACGCGGCAAAGTGTGTCCACATGCACTTTTGGGATACAAGAGTTAATGGGTACAGCGTGAGGCAAGTGCCCGTACCCGTGGTCCGGTCTCTTAAGGATCTTGGGGTGATAGTAAGTCATGATCATGAGGTCACGGTCCGTTGCAGGAAGTCTCAGCTAAGGGGCTTAGAACCTTCTGGCCTTTAAGACGGGCATTCACTAAGTCAGATACTACCATGACCACCACAGTATACACAATCTTAGTGAGAAATAAGTTTGAGAGCTGCGTTCAAGCTGCAAGCCCCTGTTTAAAATGTGACTCAGATATCCTGGAAGAAGTACAGAGGGCTGCTACTCGTGCGACTCTAGAACTCCGTGGTTTATCATACAAAGAGCGGCTTATAAAGCTGGATCTCTTTAATCTATCTTATCGCAGACTAGGTGGAAATCTAATTTTGATGTATAGAATACTAAGGAATGATTTTGGACCCAACATATTCTCTCTTTTTCTGCCCACTAGATCGGGATATCTCAGAGGACATAGCAGATGAGTAGAAAAATCAAGAACAAACGAAATACCCGTGACATACAGGTTTTCACACAGAGTCCTCAATTCATGGAACCTGTTACCCAAAGAAGTGGTGTCTGCATCTTTAATTGATTCATTCATGAGAAGACTGGGCGCTCACAGAAACATACTAGGAAAGGAATAACATAGACCGTAGGCCTTCTGTCCTTACTACACAAATCTGAATTTGACCTCCTATACTTACCCCTAAAAAACAAAGACTGAAGATTGAATATATATTGAACGATGATATTATGTCTTTTCTTTACCTTCTATCTAGAACTAACCGTTTGAGGAAAATGTCTAAGAAAGTTTAAGAACCGAGATCAAATTGTTTTAGGATGGATTTCCGTTTTCTGCATCTAGTAATGAATTACTGGAATCCCCTACTGCAATATCAGCACCTGTTGATACATAAAAAATGATATCGACTCTCCACACTACTACAAGTCGCAAGGATTAATACAGGTTGATTAAACTCCCAACCTAACTATTTAACTACTCGTCTCGCTTTCACTAATATCCTGATTCTAAGGGACTTTAATCTCCCTAGAGTCAACTTCGCGGAACATACGTACATTGGAAGTGAAAACTCAATTGAAGCTCGGTCCTTCAACCTAATTGAGGACTTGGGATTATACGAAAATGTAAAGTCGGCAACTCGTTGGAGAAACAGTCAGACACCATCGCGCTTGGACTGTGTATTTACAAACGAAGAATTCCTAGTTGATGACCTCTTAATCCTGGCTCCCCTGGGAAAAAGGGATCACGCTGTTATAGCTTTCAGTTTCATCAGCAAAACTGAGCCGAGATATCCCACCAACAACTTTCTCTGGAATTTCAAACGGTGGAATATATCAGCTCTAAATGACTATCTACAACAGGTGGATTGGGATGTTCACCCTGAACTCGATGTGGATGCTCATTGAGACTTCTTACTGCACACGCTCATATGTGCTACAAACCATCCAGTTCCTCAAACGGTCCCCCATAGCCATCAGGAACCCACAATCACTAGGAGCCGCACTCTTCACATGCCAAGCCGCAAACGACACTGTTGGGCAGAGTACAAACGAACTGACAACAACGGCGCGTACAGGCACTACAAACATATAAGTAACATATGGACGAAGGCTATAAGAGAAGACAGGCTTCAGTACCAGACAAAGATTATGGACAAATTTGTCACTAATCCGAAAAGCTTATTTCGTTATGCAGCCGCTCTTCGTCAAGTCAAAACAGGAGTTTCTCAACTGCTAGGTCTTAACGGCCCGACCAACGACGACGGCGACGCCGCTAACCTTTTGGCTGGACAATACTCTCGGACATTCCAACCGACCCACATAAACTATACCGACGAAAGCTTCATCTGAAACTCCAAAGGACTTACCGAAGTAAACCTGAGCGCTGATATGTGTTCCGAAAACTGCAGCACTTAAGACTAGATACTTCTCCTGGCCCGGATATGGTTCATTCTGCCATACTGGGGGAGGCAGCCTTAATCTTGACAACGCCGCTTAGCATGATGTTCTCACATTCGCTAAGCTGAAGAAAACTAACGGGAAATTGGAAGCTAGCTCACACACACCAATTTTCAAAGGAGACCGACGCAGCGAAACTTCAAGTTACCGACCGGTGGCTTTTCTCTCAATACCTTCAAAACTCATGGAGTCCGTGATATACGATGGTATAAATGACTATTTACTGTCCTTAAATTTCTTCTCACCCCAACAGCATGGTTTCAGAAAGAGTTACTCTTGTATGACCAACCTTCTGACTGCGGTGGACAGATGGACAAGAATCCTCAATCACGAGGTGAAGGTTGATATCATCTACCTTGATTTCTCATAAGCTTTTGATAAGGTTAACCATACATGTTTTATCAATAAGCTCAAACTGCTAGGTATCAAACCACCTCTATTCGATTGTCTTACTTCATACCTAAAAAATCGACATTTTAAGGTCACGGTTAATTTCACTTTATCTCAGGCTATGGAATGTCCTAGTGGGGTCCCCCAGAGCTCAGTACTAGGGTCTCTTCTCTTCTTGAGCTACATAAATGATCTTCCTCAACAGGTAACGTCGGACTTATTACTTTTCGCCGACGACGTGAAACTTTGGAGAGAGATACGCCACCAAGACGATACACAGGCACTTCAGGAGGATCTGACTCGACTTCAAAGTTAGGCAGACGATAACGGACTTACCTTTAACACTTCAAAGTGTAAAGTAGTCCATCTGCGACATGTCGCAAACTACAGTTACAACTTAGGAAACTCCTCTCTAGTGGTATCCCAAGTCGAAAAAGATTTAGGAGTCCTGGTGCCCCATGACTTAAAGTCTTACGCTAACTGTGACAAAAATGCCTTCCGAGCAAACCTTGCACTGGTAACGTTGAGGCGCATTTTTGTCCAGTTTGACGAAAGAACTTTCCACACAATCTTCAATAGTTTCATCCGTCCCCATTTAGAGTACGGAAACATAGTACTCCCCCCTCACTCCAAAAGGACAAGGTCACTTTGGAGCGTATCCAACGGCGAGCCACGAAATCAGTTCGAGGACTCAAATCTAAGCCTTACGAAGAACGCCTCCGTTCACTAGACCTTTACACACTAGAATATAGGCGTCTTAGAGGTGATCTTCTGATAGCTTATAGAATCCTTAACACTTCTGGACATCCTCTCAAACACCTACTTAAGCTTAGTTCCAACACTAACCTAAGAGGTAACACCCAGAAACTGGAAACAAAACATGGCAAGACGGAATGTAGACACAACTTCTACTCCTTAAGAGTTGTCAAATGCCGGAATTCGCTGCCGGCCGAACTAGTCCAAGCAACTTCCCAGGAATCCTTTATGAGGCAACTTGATCTATTCCTAAGGACTAAGGATAGTGTAGATCACACTATGATTTACTAATTTGTTTTCCTGTTTTATTGTTAACATACCTAGGTTCCTGCCTGGAGGATTTGGTGAACCCCCGCTACTAGACACGGAAGCCTGTTAATCGAAAGCTTCTTCTATTCCGTCCGAAACCATTTGAACCATTTGAACCATTGGAGGTTGAAGCGCACAGATTACTATTTGCGCTACTGCAATTGCCCATTGCTTGACATCTATCTATATGAAAAATAAAAGACCAGATAGAGACTTTTATCATCATCCACGGTACAAAACAACCACTGAAGATTACGGGAATTCTCGTAGTGTCAGAACTGGTCGAACTCTCCCTGTTGCTTCGACAGAACCACACAGCCATCATAAAGATAGAGTTGATTCGTTACATCCACACCATTCCCAACGAAAATCTCTTGTTAGTGAAACCAAAAACACTCGCTACACTCAGGATTGTAAAAATACCGATAAGCTAGTATCTGGAGGTTTCACTCATGTGTCAGATTTAAATTCCAGTTTCATTGATGGTAACACGAAACCGGTCGTTAGTACGTCACTACATTTCAGCGACTCCAGATCCATCAGTACCAACAGACATTTTGCTTCAAAACCACGTCAAGAATCTTTTGCTACGAGTCCCAGTGTACAAAATTCACGTGTGCTCACGAGTACCTCTGTAGATTTGACACCAGAAAATTCTACAGAAAAACATGGTGGACTTATCCTTCTACCGAAAGATGTGGACATATTTCAACAAAGTACTCAAAACTCAAAGAGTTTCCGACGTGAGGCAGTTCGATGTAGGTCGTTTACTTTAAGGACATGAATATTATGTATCATTTGATTTCATAAGTTGCTTCACATAAAATGTGATTCGTCCCACCAGACAGATGCCTACGCAGAACAGATGTTCAGGCCCTTTTATCACTATGATCTGGTTGACTGAGTTTCTCGTTGCTTTAGGTTGTGACGTACTGACATTACCTACCACTGTTTCATACAGACTAAGGATAATTATTACGCTAACTTCCTCTTCATAGTTTTGTTTGCCATATAGAACTCTCAGTACACCATCGAATTCGCAGCGGCATATTTATCACTAAAGCTTAATGTTTTGTAGTGTTTTCAATAATGATTTGTTGCTGCACTCTTAGTCGTTATTTTAATATAAGTGCATATTTACCGAGAACTCAGATGTGCTCTAGAACAGTACTAATCTTTGTACAACTTTATTGGTAACGTGACAAAATGTTGTCCACCATCAAACTGACGGCTGCAGGTGCATTAAAATTTGCTTTGCACCAGAAATTATTGTGTACTAATAAAAAATGTTCGGTAAAGGAGGAATTTATTGTGTAAATGTCAACGTTACTTCAAAGATAGTTACGTAAAACAGACTTCCAAGCGATAGTGTGTTGGTTCAAGTTTCCACGCCTCATCAACACATCTGGACGAAGTTAAAATGTGGGAAATAAGGAATCAGTATCATAGTCAGTCGGTCATTAAATATATCAATAATCATGATGTTTAGTAACTTCAACAAGCACACATGGATAAAACATATATAGAACCCAGAGTTATTGAGACTTTGATTTAAAATTAAACAAATGTTTTGTTTCGTCAGGTTTCAAATTATTCACCTCTCTGTTTTCTAAGGTATATAAGCTAGTCGTTTAAATACGTCCCAGAAATCCATTGAGTCACTGACTTCGAATGGGCTGTTTAGATAAACACAGTCTACCTGGTTTGGGTTTTACCCACCCATCGTGTACGGTATCTGGAGACGCTGGGCGAAATGTCACAGATGCATCTGCTCTATCATAACTTGTATCCTGAGTTCCAAGCTATCTTCTACTTTCTATCCCACGAATTCTTCATGTCATGCCGTCCTTGCCTAATCTTCTCTATTACCACTGCATTGTTAACACTGAAATTCTTCCTAATAGTCTCATCTCACTGTGATGATATGTGATGTGATAACTTGAACTGATGTACATATTTCAGTCTATTGCATATGACTAACTGACCGACTGATCTAAAATTGCTAAAATTCCGAATGATTTCCGTCTGATTTTAGTTTTATTTTGGGTTTTTTAGTCTGCAGCGATACTCAGGTGTTTTTTTTCTTTCAAAGATACTTATCAGTAGTGCTTTTTAAGCGTCTGCTTCATGCTGTTGTTGATTCCATATTAGTACAGTAAGTGATTTCTTCTACTCTTTAACTATTTGAAAAATGTAAACATTTAGTACTTATTATTCCATTGGATTATTATCTGAACTCATTTTATCAGCTGATTCAACTAAACCAGTCGTTGTTGTCCGTCCAAGCTTCTCCAATCCATACAATCATTCCAGAACTACTAGCACCAGATTAGATTCACATGGAGTTGACGAGTCAAAATGTATCAGTCAATGTAAACAGAAATCAGATAATGATATGAGTTCACGCTGTTTTGTCAGTGACGCTTCTACCGAATCGCCCACCACTGTTTTACCTGTCCCATGGACAGACGCTGCAAAGGCTGCTTTCTATCAGTTTTTCAAAACTCAAACCAAATTTAGTTCATCTTCGTCTCTTCAAGCTGAAAGACCATCCTCAACACATCATTTCGCTAATCAACCGACTTGTTTATCTCCAGGATCAACAGTCATCCAGCCTCCAAAGTAAGCAAAACCGTTTTGCTTACAAATGTGTAAGAATTATATTGTTTCGCGTTTTTAAGCCGTTATTAGAATGGATTGCAATTCAACAACTTCCTTTTTCGCTATTGATTAGTCTAGTATATATTTTGTGCCATCAGTTAAATGGAAGTAGTATGAAAAAAGCTGTACAGGACTTGCTTCTGTTGGTCATTCACGACTCCCTGTTTGGGGTCCTAGAGATGGTGCAACACAGTGGCTAGAGACGTTATCAGATATGGCCCAGAATAGAAGCCAGTGGCGATTCTGCTGTAATTTTATTTTACTTCATAAAAAGTGAATGTAACTTCTTTAACTGGCAGGATTCTTTCTGCTTGTACCTCTTCTAACTCAACTGCTTCTCCCATTATTATTACACTATCATACACTAATTTCTGTTCGTTATTGTCCCCCTTTTTCTTATATGCACTTTACATTCTCTATCTCTTCACATTCTCATTGCTATTGTGTTGCGCATATGTATCTGGTGCCCCTTTGTACCAATATTTGTGTTCAGATAAATATATAGATAAATAGTAAATGTATGGAAGTGTGCAGTATTCACTATGGAAAAGAAAAAAATGTGATATTTAATGATAAAATGGAGATTTACATATATGCCTTCATTTGATTTATTCGTTCAACTTCTTCCTACCCGATAATTTATTATTTCATTCTTAGATTATTCTTTTCTCTCTTCACTGACTTTGGGAAGCTGAGTTTTTAATCAGACGTTAAATATTTTAGTTTATACGTGTTCCGTCAGCAAACAATTCCACCATCTGTTAGTGAATTTTTTTTATTATGGTATATTGAACCACCAATGAGGTTATACTCAAAAATCGTTCCAATAAGACTACATTCAACAAAACTGTCGGTATTATTTAGCAGGGAGGTACAGTTATGCATATATATATATATATATATACTTGGCTTTTAGCCACTTGCTGTTTGGATGTTGTTTCTATTGATTATTGCATCAAGAATAATAGCAACTTATAAAGTATGTGTCTACGTAGTCGGCTGTAAATCACTGTTTTGTGTAGAAGTTAGTAGTGTCTCTTTCAGCTACCTGATTGACTTCCGCGCAATATTCGCGATCAGTAACTGATGACACTAGGTAACATTGCTTTAAGTCAGTTACAGGCAATGGAGTTCAACCCATCTAACCTCTAAATCTTGAGTTCCATTTTTCCTTCATACATATCTTATTACTTTTGAATGCCATATTTTGGCTGCATTTAAATAATTTTACTGAAGCCACATGTATAATTAAGTCATATTTCTATAGTAATCTGTGAAATTTCTGTTTATTCATCAAGCGAAATGATTGCATCAACTATGCAACAAATTGTTCAACTTGATGCTACTCTATCAGCTCTACTCATTCCACCTGGTCTGTGTGCTCAATCAATGGTGTTGTTCGAACCATTACAATCTGATCCTGAATTAGGAAGAGAATGGACGGAATCAGAAGCATTGTTTTTACGTTGGTGGGGCACAGTTAAGCGACTTCGTGATAGTTTATTTTTACTATTTGAAAGTGTAATAGTTGCAGATTTGGACTTCTGTAATACGGCACATGTTGAACAAGGTATGTGGAAGTCGGTTTTCTACACTGTCTTGGAATCACTTCGTTCATGGGTCGAAAATCCACAATCTACACAGTATGTTGTTTATTAATCTTATTCATTTAGTTATAGTAATAAGTGGTAGCAATATTATTAATTTCATTCAATTAATAACTCAGCGTTAGGTTGTTTTATTAAACTGAAGTTGGTTTTATTATATTTAAATTCGAAATTCATTGATTACAAGTCAAGCAATTACATCTCCAAGTCACTGACTATCATCAATTTGATAAAACGCACGAAATTTTGTAACGTATGGACATAGTCATTTTGATAACATCAAACAAAAATAAAACGTAACTCATTAATTTCATCCAGTTTTGCAGTAGCGGACGCTCCACGTATAACATGCCACATAAACGATATAGTGTAAATCTGAGTTTATTATTTTTATTTTAACACAGATATTGGTACAAAGAGGCACCAAATACATATGAGCCACACAAATCATATTCGATATGTTTGAGGGCTGTGATACTGCCCGGGTGCCCAAACCGAAGCAGGTGGTTTCCTTAGGGGGCCACTCCCCGAGCCTTCGACCTAAAGGTCTGATCCACAAGGCAGTGGAGCATCGTAAGGAGATGCAATCCCATGGTAGCCGGCGACCAAAGATTGGTTCATGCGCCATTTGTTCCCGCAGGATACTGGAGCCCATGTGCACCATTGGTTTTGAACCCGGTTAAAGCGCCGGACATTCGCTTTTCGTCCACCCATTTTCGTAAACAACACCCCCGCCACGAGAAGGTAGTGAGTAGGACTTCTCTGTCAGAGGCTATATACGCATGGCCATGTGAGAGTATTTGGAGAGGGAAAGTGGACTCTCCCCACTCTCGGCCGTACTAGGGCATTTGGGGGCGTAAATTTGAGTTAGTTAACATATATTTGGTCAAGTGAATTGTAAAGTGTCTCTGTCACCAATCACTCATTTATATCTAGGACAAAGCGCGTTTCATCCTATTTGGGACTCATCAGCTGGATGTACCTGCATCCCAGAGTTGATGTTCACTCTGGAACTCGCACCAAGTACCGTTCGTTTCAAACGCCATCGCGTTATGCACTTAGCTACTGAGTCCCAAAGGTTGTGATGGAGGTGGGATCCGAACCCACGCCCTTTCGGACTTGTGCTTCGGTCTGGGCACCCGGACAGTATCACAGCCCTCATGCAAACCTGATGAGATGTATGGCGCATATGTATCTGGTGCCCCCTTGTAGCAATATTTGTGTGTTCAAGTAAATAATAAATAATATTAATGATTCGTTTTTATCTAATCGTTGTAATTATTACCTGGCTTTGATCCACCTCTTGGTCTTATAGTAACTAAAGGTGACCAGTTAGGAATCTTTTATCCACTTTTCCTGTTTACCAAAACATCATTGCAGACTTGAAGAAACATATGTTCCCGAAATTCAAATCTCCGTCAAGTTTGCTAGCAACAAAAACATTTTCTGTTGGGAAGCTTGAGCTACAACTTATCTGCTGCGAAATTGATTTATTTTTCCAAATTTGGTGATGTATTAAGTGTTTGCTCTGCTGCTTTTCTTATTCGCCGTATCATCATATTACTGGTTATATCATCTGTGGAATGTGATTTCAGGGATAAAGATTCCATCGGTACTGTTGTTGATTTTACTTTAGATTTTGTTACACGCATGTTTCATTAGGTACTTTGATGGATATCCAGTAGATCATAGGTACGTTTTAGATCCTCTCCATTAGTATCATCAAAACAAAGTGTTAGGTAAATTTTGCTCTTGATGTATCGGGACAAACCTTAAACGTGTGTATATCGACTCGGCTTAATCAGTTCACGACAAATATTTTTAAATCCCCACTTTAGGTTTTCTCGTCAATGAGACGTCTAGAAAGAAGGGGTGATCTCAGTTTTTTCCTCTTTGCTGAAAGTAATTGCTTGATGGATTCTGTTAAACATTTCTGAAAAGCTCTGCGCTTCGTCCTAGTTTTTTAGAACTATCATAGTGTCATGCAGATAGCGACAATAAAATTATGACTTATCACACTTCTTGAAGAATCGTCTACGTAGTGATTCCAATAAGGAGCTTTATGAACAATGTGGTATAGCCATTGAAATAGCGACACAGTGCATAAAAAATTCATAGAATGAACATTCAATACAATAAGACTATGTCCTTATTCCATCTGCCGGCTAATAGTAACTTCACAAAATAAAGATAAATTGCCTTGTTCTGCCGTCACTATATGTATTTACCAGTTCAACTACGCTTGTGTAGCCAGTTGTATTTAGCGTACAACCAGACATTTATATCATACTTCTGAACACTGTCCCTCTTGTTTGTCAAAGAAGGAAAAAGAACAATAAGAAGTTTTAATTTATAATTTTATCCCTACACAATCCATCTATCTTAGTAATCTGATTATCTAATTTTCATTCCACTTGTTTTATTACTTATTGCTTTCTTTACAAATAATACTGAACATTTATTTTCACTCGCTTGATTTTAGACTTACTCAACTCATTATTTTTATTCTTACGTAGCGGGTTGCTACACGTAACCGACTATATAATTTTGCCTTTAGGTTTAATTTCATATCCGTTGAGTTACGGACTGTGCTCGCTATCACATCTGAATGTTCCAGTGTACATTAAATTCATAATAAACGTTTTGCTAAACTGCTATTTTTTAATCGTATCTTAGGTTAATTCCTAAACTAGAGAAAAATCCTGAGACTATAAAACTTCTTCAAAGTCAATTAGTTAACCTTATTCAAAAAATTTGCTTATCTGAAGTGATCGATTCTGGATCAAATCAATTAGCGTCTCTACTTGAACGTATACAAAGCATACATCATATTCAACTTGGTCCATTATTATCAGATGGTAGACCACCTCCAGAAACAAAATCAAGAACTCGACGATTAGTCTATTTAAGTGCTCAAAAATTAATGCTATTCCTTGGCGATTTAGCTCGTTATAGAGAAACTTTAGTTGGTGAACGAAATTTTGGTAAAGCACGAAAGTAAGTTTAAGTTTAACACATACAATAAAGTAACGATTAATTATTTTCAATTACATAAAATAGGTAACAATAATTTTTATTTGGTACTTACTGAATCATCTATTTTTGTACTGATAATATTTTTAGCCATGGAAGAACACACTTATGTATCCGACTTAAAGTTACTTTGTAAATCACGTCTCTACAGCTCCATAATTATACAATTTTCACTCATTATATATAAGTTGTATCAAGTATATAATTACAATGCTATTTGGTAGTTGGTGTGCTGTTCCAACCCATAACCCAGCGATTTGACAGTCTGGAATCGAAATTATTAGATCATAGCCTTATATAAGTATCATGAGTCGCCTAGTTGGTGCATCAACTCCAATATTATGTCGAAATATAGTCTATAAAATTCTGGGTCACCGGTGTAAAGGCATTGTACTTATTACGATACATGAAAGTCCTGAATTTCATTCTGTAAGAAACCGTAAGTGTTTACTGTTCAAGAGTTCTAAACGATCATGAGGGTGTTGTTCGGTGATCTCTTGATTTTCACTGTTTTTCTAATTGGTTGTAGTTTATAATAAAAATGAATTTCTGGATATACAAACGTTTCCGCGAAATCATCTATCTAAATTACATGAAACATAAAGACTTCCTAATTAACTTTAAAATCCTCATGTGTTGAAAATGCTACCAATCCCTTGTTACTAGTAGTTGATTAATTAAAAAAATTTATTACGATTGTTGTTTATGAAAACAAATAACATCGAGTTGAAGTAGTTGAGCTCATTGACAGATTCACTTGTCTTGGAATGCTCATTAACCCAGTAAGTCGGTAGCTGATGAAATCTCGGTACGGATACGAAAACAAACCTAGATCGTGCCATTTATGGAGAATCCGAGACGTTCGACTCTCTGTCGAGTGGTAAATATTACTCCCCTGCAGTTTGATTCGTATTTATCTCTGACTGTAAAACACAAAATGCAAAATTAGAAGACATGCAAGCTACAACTATTTGGCCGTAGGCGTTTGCGATGCGTTAGTCACTTTTGCCAAAACAACCAAGTGGGTAATATTGAGGTTAAGTAAATGGTGTTAGATAACGATCGTAAGCCAAAGACAACTTATAATCCTGTAAACCTCAGTCTACCTTAACATCCGGTCTCAGTCGGTATTATGGTAGGTTGGAAAAAATATGGGAATAGAAATGGTGAGTTCCATGATTTTAAGTTCCAATTGCAATCATTCTCAGTCTCCCTGTATGTGATGATACAACTTACGAACCACACATTCTTGTCATTGGCTTTGAGTCATACCTTTTGTGTAAGGATGTGTTACTTACTACCTGTCTACCTAAACAGAAATATGTTGGGTGGAACTCAAACCTGCGACCTAGTGGCCGAAAGTTAAACCCCTCAACCACTAAATCACTTTGAGTTAAGTATCATTTCATACTAGTCATCTCTATCACTTACTCTTTTTTGAATTATATTTCTAATATTGGACTTTCGAGCACTGTTAACATTATTTCCTTCTCTATGCTTTTCATCTTGTTTGTGAATTTTCTGTCTCATTGTACTGTCATGCTAGTTGTGCCAAATTAGACCAATAAACGTGTTCTGCTGCCAGCTCTTACATCAGAAACTAAAATCTATTTCTTACAACAGAATGAGAAATTTGAAAACATATTTTTTTTCTTCGTTTGAATAATCTCTTGCAATGTTTGTACACGGTACCCAAACTCTTCATTTCTTCACCATAGTAACCGTACCCAACGTAAAGCCTGTGACAAAAATGTGCCTTATTCTAAGTTCCCATACTATATTAGTACAACTAAATAAAAGTAACATTATAAATGAGAAAAATTGAAATAATTGTGGTAGTAATGATAATGAGAATAAGTGAACATTGGTTTATAAATAGTTTAAAGAAACAAAAGGAAAAGTATATGTATCAAAAAGGTACTGAAGCTTAACGTATGGAGCAAAATCATCTAAGCTATTGTGACCCATTATAAGTCATATCACTGAACATCTCTAACTGTTGATCACAATTACCACTTGAACTTCAACCTCAGTACAATAATCAATAATTTCATGAACTGATGCCACATTTTCGTATTGTCACCTTTCTTATTTTCTTCACTGTTATGTAATTGAATTAATAGCCTTGTGTTTATTCTAGTCAATTCATATTATTTAGTGTATATAGATTAAATGGCTGTTGACTACTTCCAACCACCATCTAAATCTCAATACATAGTGCCCGCAGTGTCGAGTCACCTAGACTGGTGGCCACATTGCAACATGATCGATAGCATTCGATCTGCACTAATAAGGACTAGACAAGCATGACATTGATCACCACCCAGTGATCAATCAATTGTGACTACATCTCAGTCCTACAGGAGGTTAGTCACGGCTCGGATAGCTCAGTGGTAACGTCTCTGACTGTGAAGCTGGGTGACACGAGATCGAATCCGCCAGGGAGCACCAGTTCCCTCAAGATTACAGGTACACCTTGCTGACGAGTGCCAAGTAGCACGAAACCCGGGTCCAGGGTTTCCTGTTGACTACCTCCAACCACCATCTAAATGGCATAATATTATGTACATGATCATAGTAAAGAGAAAAAACAAATGCAGTAAGGACGACGTTTGAGCGACACCTTAATGACCTTGAGAATATCCACCTACTTACTAAGGGCTAAATGAGGGTTATAAAGCAGTGTGAAGAATAAGAATTATGAGTTACAGTTGATGGTTATGGTTAAGAATTAGATTTATGGTATTCATCACGAACTAACATCAGTTGAAATGCCAAGACTTTATTTAGTCAATGGGATGAATCAATTTCGTTCCAAAATCCAAGACTTGTTATTCTAAATCTAATTGGTTCGTCTATAAATTATGGTCTAGCCACAAAATCTTTTTCATTCAATTTGTTTGTTTTAATTTTAAACATGTAAATATTCGGTATATATTATTATTATGATTTGTTTGCTTTCTGAACTTTTATCAGTTGGTATCAAAAAGCTCAATTATTAGTGCCGAAAAATGGTCGGTCATATAATCAATTAGCTGTTTTAGCTTTGTATACTGTAAGTGAACATGTTGTTTTATTCTTTTTGGTAATGTATATATGTAGTATTAGCCATGTTGGTAGATGCAGACTACTTGGTTAGGGTCCACACGACTATCGTAACCAATTGTTGGAGAATCTGGGTGACATGGTTCAGAATCGATCACAGTGGTGTAGGTGTATACACTCTCTATCTTCTTTTTAAACTATGATATTAAAATCGCCTTATATCTTTCTTTCTACGAAATAATTCTTTCTTCCTGTACGATATCCTTATACACAATCTTTTATATATTACCACCATTGAATTAACTACTTCTATGAATCTAATGTTCATCTTGTTGTGCTAATGAGGTGTGGTAACTTGGACCGATGCATATATGTGCTTGATCCTACGTTGTAGCTGATATATATTCCTGTGTGAAGATGACTATCTTTTTTTCAATGTTCAAACTGTAATATTTAGTTTTTGATGGAGTTTTGTTCTCTGAGCTGGATGGTTTGGTCGTGGGGCTTTCATCGACATCATCAGCATAAACTTCTCCACCATCTGTAATATTTAGTATTTTTTGTGAATTTTCCCGTTTATTTAGTATGTTAGTGCTGTATAGAAGAGTGTAATTTTCACTACTTAAGACTTTATTTCAATTATCTATCCAAATCTATCTACATATATGTTTTATGAACACACTATTGTAGTGCATTTCAACATGTTAGATGAGAAAAGTAAATAAAGTGAAAGTTAGTGCTTGAAATGAAATCCCCAATGAAAATTATACTTTCATATACAGTATTCACTTATTAAATGAGTAGAACAATGCTAGATATTGCACGACGCATTTAGAACAGATTTGTTAAACAATTTGCGGATATGTATCCTATCCATATGGTTATTATATTTTTAGTACAATTTTCAAAACAAAACAAAAAGATTCTTAATATGCTTTGATATTCTAGAGAATTATCCTAAGATTAACAACATTTAACTGTAATCAAACAGCCAGTGATCAATGATGAAATAGTGTCTTTAATTGTGTTCAAATAGAAAATAGCCTCCGTTGAAAAGTTCAAGCGCAGTGAAAAAACGAAATTTAAATGTATAAAAGTAAATGCAAAAAGATCATAACCAGAAAGTAGGTAGTTTTCTGAAGGCTTAACATTCTCGAAAGTACCAACCTAATCTGATGACCGTAAACTTCTGGGTATTATGGATGAGATGACTTTTGAACGAAGCTAAATTAACTTGAGACAACTCACCTACGAACTGGGATCAAAAGAGGATCATAAATTAGTATGAGGAATTAGGATTAAGATTTAGAATTAGATGTTAGAGTTACGAATTAGAGTAAAGGTTTTTATTATGAACTGACAGCTATAGTGTCAAGATACTGAGATGGTGAAGAAGATTTGTAGCTCAAGTGGATGATTTTGGTGGAGTTTTATTCTCTGAGCTGACCAAACCATCCAGCTCAGAGAACAAAACTCCACCAAATGTCAAAATACTATTAAACTTTATAAATGAATAAATTTCGCATCAAAATCCAAAACTGTCTATCTTAAATCTTATTAGTTTGTCCATAAATTATTGTCTCGCCAGTCGGATATGCTTCCGATAACAATGATAACTGTGATGATAGTTCAATACCAGAATATAAAATAGTTTCTATGACTATTTGTCAAAATTTTAAAGAACAGTTTAACAGAAATTAAGCACCAAATACTTAAAAAAAACATAATATATACAAAAAAATCATATTTGATTTTGGTTATTCCCGTGAAAGAAAAACTGGAAACAGTTTACCTGGTGAAATGTTGGAATTATTTAATATGATACGTCGATTTGAGTGAATAAAAAATCACACTGAATAGCAATCATATACATAATCTTCCAATTAATCTCTTCTTAAAACGTATTTACGGAATTTAACCTCTTCAACAAAATGTTGGTTTTTTTTTCAAGAATGTTAGTGTTTATTCTTTGGTAGTTTTCATTGAAGCACCAATGCTAGCATCGTCGAGGTAGATTTCTCTCCTTCAAGATGCCAAATGTTGCTTCAGGACTGATTTACGTCAGAGTCTAAGCTAGTGATAGGGAGTGAAGTAGTTGACTGTGTTTATCTCTTCACTTATCTTGGAAGTCTCATCAACTCGGATGGACTGGTGTTTGACTAAATCTCCGTATGAATCCAAAAAGTCCGTTTGACTTCTGCCATCTTGCGTCACTTGTGGCATAGGTGAGGTACCCGATATCTGAGAACAAAAGGACGAGTTTACTGTACAACAGTTCACTCCGTTCTACATTATGGGTGCAAAATATGACATTTAAAAATAGGGGATATATGTGAATCATTATTATCCAGCCATAGTTGTCTTCGAACGATTGGTCGTGCATTTTGGGACCATCGAGTTAGTCACTCTGACACAGAATATGATGTAAAGATGGCAAGTCAATTGATGAGGTAGTGAATTTTGATCGACTGAGATGGTTAGGACATGTGTTACGTATATATCCATACACCGAATACCTAGTTAGGCGATGATGGCTGGTGTATGATTAGGCTGGAAGAAAGTTAGGGGCGAATAAAGCTAGTCAATACATCAGTCCATGAAGATACTGACTGACGGACTGAGCCATTTAAGTAGGTGCCGACTACTCAGTTAAGGTCCATGTGATAAATGGTTGAAGATTTTGAGTGACATGGCTTGAAATTGTTCTCAATGGGGCAGGTACATTCATTGTTTGTCCTCCTTTAGTTCCCAAGTTTCCTAATTCCTTCTTAAATGTTTTTATTTCACCAGTTCATATATATCGAAATGTATCTTGTATGTCTAGTCTTTTCGACTACCACTAATACTGTCATTACCTCCACTACTCCGGGTTTCGCTCTAGCAATTTCATCTCTCTGTGTTAATGTGGTATGGTAATTTGAACTGATTTACGCACGTACCAGGTTTTATGTTGTATTTGACCGACTGACAGACAAGTAGCCTTTGAATTATTTCTCAGCTGGCAGACAGCCAGAGGAGAATGCCTTAAATCTATGTTGCACAGATGTCAATAAAATGACTTTCGACAGATGTGCCTCGTAAAACTATATCCTACCGACGGTCTTGAGTAACCAATCAAATTCGAGATAACACCTTTAAACTATTAGTCTGAATTTGTAGATAGGTTGTTGCTTGAAATCATGTTTTCACCTAGATTTCGTGTTTTAGATGGTTTGGATGATAATTTTCTTGGGTGGGGGGCACCTAGGGAACCCCGTGTGTGAATGTAAAAATGTAGTGTTAGGATTGAGGGTATCGCCTTATATGAAAAATCTCCTGAACCCTAACATCCTAACCAAATTGATAGTGGTAGAATGGGATGAATCATGTCAAAAAATAATACGATTTTCAGTTCGACAAACCCATAATCTTATTGGGATCTCAAACTGATGTAAGTCGGACAGTCATTACAAACCTGGAGGCACTTGACGGCCCGTGTGTGTAATTTTCAGTATCCTGTTTCATTGTTACAAAAACACTCCGTTTTTATGTTATAGACTCAAGTTGTATATATACCATACTTAACAGTTTTTTAAAATCGTATTTCCTTACTTGTTTCTAAATATCAAATATCATCACTCTTTGTTGTGCCTCTTCTTGCTTTTTCGTAATCAGTCCAGACATTTGGATGCAATGTTCTACTATATGCGTACTCTTGCTGCAAGTAATCCTTTTGCAACTGCATCACAAAGTTTGGCAGCTTTATTTAATGAAATACGACCACGTGCTCAAAACATGATTATGCAGGTATGCTTAGTGAATAATTCAATATTGAATTATTATTAGATAGTAATATTATATATTCCTGTGAATTAAAGTTGGTTCATACTTTCGGGTACGATGAATTCGATAATAGTTGCACAAACAAAACCAGTAGTGCTTACGCTTAGTGCGTCAAGCCCAATGGCTTAGTGGTCAAATCACTATTGTTTCAACTATCAGGTTGCATGTTCTATTTTCGTCAATACCTACTTCATTTTGATTAACTGAGTTAGTATGGTTAGACCTCACACATAAGGCAGTATAGCTCTAAACGTAATTTATAAATCTATCTGTACTTGGTAAATAAACGAGAGGAAATCCATGGAGTTCTACTGAGAATCATTGACCATTGGAGTTTAACCATTCCGAGTATGAAGCAGATATCCACTAACAACAGTGAAAAATGTTTGTACAATATTTCCAGTTGATAAAATGTGAATATGCAAACCATTGAATCCCTGTTCGATGGTCCTGAATGTCAAGTGCTCGCCATGTGAGCTGAAGGTACTGGGGTCAACTTCTGACGGGGTCGTAGATGCGCACTGCTGAGAGACCTCACACTAAGACTAACCAATTATTCAATGCGTCCCGGTTTTCAGTGATTGTTTGAGAACAGTCTGTGATGTATATTAAGGAGGAAAAACGGTCTAAGCTAAGTAGAATCTGCTAAAATATTTGGTCGGTTCAAGCTGTTGTACTTAGCATCATTAAAAGAAATGGCGATTCACAAGCTGTGAGTCGAACTAGTCATAATACGATCATAATATTAGTGAATAGTAAAGAAAATACCAGTGATATTTTCAGAATTTTTATCAAATTACACTGTGGTCGCTTCTGTCAAGTTATAGAAGGATAATTCCCTTTTACCACATATCACCTTTCCCTCCAAGTTTGTAGGTAGTTTTTTCTCTCATTCCTTTGGAAACATTGAATCAGCATTATGGCACTAACACTATCTGTACTTACACTGCATGTATATAGCTCCTCCATCACGAAACAATTTACTCACTTAAGCCTGTTGCCCCGCATAGAAGAGCACAGGCCGCTCACCAGCACTCTTCATCCAACTCTGCCTGGGTAATCCTTTCCAATGGTTCCCAGTTGATGTTCATTATTTCAATTTCTGCTTCCGATTCCTGGCTCAGTGTGTTCTTTAGCCTTCCTCTTTTTTGTTTCCCTTCGGAGTTCCAGGTTAGCGCTTGCCTCGTGATGAAGTTTGGTAATTTCTGCAATGTATGTCCTATCCACTTCCATCGTTTTTTCCTATTTCCCTCTTTAACTGTAAGTTGGTTTGCTCTCTCTCACAACAGTTTGTTGCTGATGCTATCCGATCAATGGATGTTGAGTATCTTACGTAGACAATTGTGTATAAATACTTGTACTTATTTGATGGTGGTTGTAGTAGTTCTCCAAGTTTCAGCGTACAGTAGAACTGTGTTGACGTTCGTATTGAAGATTCTGACTCTGATATTGGTTGACAGTTGTTTTAAGTTCCATATGTTCTTCAGCTGTAGGAATGCAGCCCTTGCTTTGCAAATCCTCGTCTTTACGTCTGTATCGGATCCTCCTTGTTCCTCAACGATGCTGTTCAGGTACGTGAAAGATTACATATCTTTCAGAGTTTCTCCATCAAGCGAAATTGGGTTGGTGTTCTTCGTGTTGTATTTGAGGATGTTGCATTTTCCTTTGTTTATGTTGAGGCCTCCTGATGCAGAGACTGCTACTATATCAGTTGTATTCATCTGCATTTATTCGTGTGTATGGGATAGAAGGGCCAGATCATCTGCGAAGTCCAAATCTTCTAGTTGCATCAAGCTGTCCATTGTATTCCGTTAAACAGAATAACGAAACAATGTAGGTTCCTTATATTGCGGTTTTATGGACTGTTCGATGTTCCCGATCGGCATCGTCTTCATATATCTCACACTTCGATTGTATATGAGCACCAGGGCATACACATAGCGGTATTCCATCATGTAATTCTGACTTGTGTAAAGAATGACATGTATTTTCTTCTTCTCACCCTTCACGTGCAAAACAGGGCCATTGTTCCAGTCATAACATGAATATATACTTTTACCATCTGTAATTAGCTCGATATTTGACTCATCATAGCCTGATTCGCCTGCAAAAAATTTAGATGGAATATATATATATATATTCAATATAATTACAAGAAGTCAGCCAGTGAGTCCGGAATAGAGATCAATGAAAAGAAAATAAATCACATACTTAATAGTCAGTAGGCTAAGTGCTTGTTTGTCCATCCTCATTGACCAATCACATCTTTAGCTCTATTAGACTGAAGTTATTAAATTTCATATAAAGTTTCTCAAAGATTTTACTGTGAAATATAACTCATAAGAAGAGAATTGCTAATGACGATACTGATCAATTCATATATTTTTGTTTCATTCAAAGTGATCTTTTTAAACGTTAGTTTCAGAAACCGAAAACTGAATCAGTTCAACCTCATTGTTCTGGATTTAGTTCACATAATCCACGATTTCAACGTGCTGAAATATGGATTCATCCAATTGATGGTCAGACTACTGTTATTCAAGGTGGACGGCGTTTGATGCATTCAAATATCAAACCAATTGTTGATGAAAGTAATAATATTCAAGGAAAATCAATGCAAAAATTAAATTCATCAACTCCTGAACTTGAAGTTGACAATGAAGACGAAGATGATGAAGAGGCACAGGCAGAAGCTGAAGAATATGCTAATATTTCTTTGATTGAAGTGAGTGTCTTCGTCATCATAGAACTGTCATATACTATCTTTCATTGTACAGGTATTTGATACAAATGCTAATATTAAATAGAACGAAATTATTAGATCAGTTGAATAACTTGTATTAGTCTTTGGTATGTTATAAATAACAAATGACTTGGCCGAATATGGAATATATGAACTCTTAGGTTTAAGATCATAAGTTAAACTTTATCGCGCTTATTGTGATGTCAAAATATCATGGTTTCAATTCATTGTATGATTTCGGATGAACAGTGTACTTGCTTTAAATTATGGATGTATTCACAAAATTCTACGTTTTCATTTGTATTTTACTTCTCTATTTTGATGTTATGCTAAGTTTATGTTTGGGTATATCATTGGTATTCTTGTCTGTCTATCTATTTGTTTAACACACATTCTAGTTTACTAACTAGTACATGGTAAGTAATGTAATGCCCCGGTACGGCCGGGGATGAGGAGAGTCAGCTGTCCCTCTCGAAATGCTCTCACATGGCCACGCGTATACGGCCACTGCCAGCGAAGTCCTACTCGCGGCGAGGGTGTTGTTTGCGAAATTGAGAGGACGAAAAGCGAGTGCCTGGTGCTTTAACCGGGTTGATGGATACAGAAGATCCACCTGGGGGAGTTGGAAAACACAGATTCCCACCCAGTGATGCACGTGGGCTACAGGGTCCTAAAGGAACAAATGGCATGTGAACCAATGATTGGTCACCGGCTACCATGAGACTTCATCTCCTGACGTTGCTCCAATGCCTTGTGGATCAGACCTTTAGGTCGAAGGCTCCGGGTGTGGCCTCCTAAGAAAACCACCTGCTTCGGTCTGGGCACTCGGGCAGTATCACAGCCCACACACAAATCAAGTGACTTGTGTGGCTCATATGTATTCGGTGCCCTTTGTACCAATAGTTATATGTTCAAATAAGTAAACAAAATAAAAACGTTCACCATTATTTTGACTACACTAATATTTAGAAAACTAGATAAAAATCAGTTATTCAGTTGTGCAATGATTATTAATTTAAAATTATCGCAAATATGAATCTACCCAAGTTTCCACACTTATGTCAACATAGTTAGATGGACATTAATTGTGTAAATGGTTAAGCAGTCGTAATAAATTATTCTTTAAATAGATTCCATTCTGTCTTGTACATTTATTACTATGGGGTTATTGAGTCCTATTCAAATATCCAATACTGTAGCATATTTCCGAATATTCAATTGAAATGTCACACTTTGATTAAAATGCAGTAAACGAAGACTTGGTGGAGATAACCGATTTATTGTTTAATGCAAAATTACACAGTTTTCAATTAGAACTTTGAATAAGTCATGCTGGCACCATAATAAAGTGATGTTTTTAATTTTCACTAGGGTGCTTAAATTAATATCAGTTTATAATTAAAATTATATACATAAAATTACTTACGCCTGTCACCCCTTGTAGAGGGCAGGTCGCCGACAAAGATTCTCCAACCAATTGTGTCATGTGCTTTCATTTTCGGTTGCTTCCAAGTGCTACTCATCCTTCCCATATCTGTCCCCGGTTCTCATCGAAATGTGTTCTTTGGTCTGTTTCTTTCCTTTTGCCCTCAGGATTTCAATTTGGGACTTGCCTCGTAATGTAGTTTGATGGTTTCTGCTATGTATATATCCTACCGACTTGCAAATTGTTTTTGTAATTTCCTCCTCAGATGGAAGTTAGTTTCTTCTCTCCCACAGTAGGTTGTTGCTGATGGTATCCGGTCAACGGACATTGAGTATCTTGAGTAGACAGTTGTTTATAAATACTTGTACTTGTTTGGTCATGGTTGTGGTAGTTCTCAAAGTTTCAGCTCCGTACAACAGAACTGTGTTGACGTTCGTATTGAAAATGTGAATATTAATACTGAAATGCGAAACGTATATCCAGTTAATGAGTTCCAAGTAAAACAAAACACGTATTCCGGATTTCATTGATGATTGCATACTAAATATACTAGAACTGAAGTAAACTTATTCATTTACCTTTCATTGTTTATATTTTCAGCTAAGTAAACAATTTGGTTTGGCATTTATTCATGCTCATGGAAAATTATATACCAAAATTGGGTAAGATGTCTTTTTTCGTTAAAATTAATTTGACGAGATTATAATTTATGGACGAATCAATCAGGTATAAGATAACAGGTTTCGGATTTTGGCGCGAAATTCACCCATCCATTTGGCTAAATAGAGTTTTGGCAATATAGTTGTTGTCAGTTCGGGATGAGAACCACAAGTGTAATTCCTAACCCTAACCATTAACTGTAAATCATAATTTGAATTCCTCATATTGGTTTATAACCCTCGTTTGGTCCTAATTATTAGGTGGACACTCAAGGTCACTTCAGCGTCGCTCAAAGGTTGTCCATAAATTATAGTCTCACCATTAAGTTTCATGTTTGGTATTGATGAACCATTGGGATTTAGATTTATTTGATATCTTAGTCATCAACGAATAAACTAAGTGAATTCCTTTGGTTTGTCTTTAAAAGAAATACTTTTTAGTGTGAGACTGTTATATCCCGATCACAATAATGAATGGTTACTTTTGGGATCCATTTATGGACCAATACTATACGTATATTTTTATCGTGTTATTGTTGAGTAACTAAACTATTCATATTCGTGTTTCTCTTATTACAAGCTTCATTTTAACCCATGAACTATTATTGTACGATTTACCATTCTTGAGTTATGCCCAGCCTATCAATTACTATCTCCCACATTCACAACCACATTTGGCTAAATCTTGTATAAATTTTGTTTTCTATTTTGTGGTGCCATGTGGTTTGTTTGATTTGTATATAAACCCAGTATGTATGAAATACATGATTCATATCACGGTGGCTGAGATTGGTGTTCTGGACTCAAGAGGCAGGGCTAGGCAGGAGGAAGTACCTCTAAAGACTCTACACTGCTCGTACGTGTTTTATGCGTGATTGTTCCAGTCGATGAGCCACTGTTCTTCAATTGGCGGCATCATTACGTTACACATTGATAGGGGCATAAACCCACAGTTTATAACAGAGACTTGTTTAAATGTTTTTCCGATCGTTCACACGAAGTAATTCCGTTATGTAATTGAGTAAAATTAAGTTTAATTAACTCAAGATCTTAAGTTTAAATCCTGTTTTTCATATGACACTGAAGAGGCAACTAAACAATAAGTACTTATAAAGCTTTGCATAATAAACATGGCCCTTTCTACAATGAAGCAGCGTTCAGTTAGTTATCAAGTAATTACTCAAAAATTCTTAATGGAAATATCTATAAAAATAATTTTCGTTACCATGACTATAGCATGTGTTTTATTTCGTGGTCTAGGTATAAAATACTTATGTGAGGCACTAATAGAGACGTTTCTACTTGTAGTCACTTTTTGTGACCATTTTTTGGAAATAGTTGAGAAGTTTGGTTTCTGAATGCTATCCAAAGCTAGATTATTTGTTTATTTATTTTAACACATAGATATCGGTACAAGGAGGCACCAAATACATATGCGCCACACAAATCTCATTTGACCTGTGTGAGGGCTGTGATACTGTCTTGGTGCCCAAACCGAAGCAGGTGGTTTTCTTAGGGAGCAACACCCGGAGCCTTCGACCTAAAGGTCTAATCCACAAGGCAGTGGAGCATCGTAAGGAGATGAAGTCCCATCGTAGCCGGTGACCAATAATTGGTTCATACTCCATTTGTTTCCGCAGGATACTGGGTCCCATGCGCACCACTGGTTAAAGCTCCGGACATTCGCTTTTCGTCCTCTCATTTTTGTAAACAACACCCCTACCACGAGAAGGTAGTGAGTAGGACTTCCCTGTCAGAGGCTATATACGCATGGCCATGTGAGAGTATTTGGAGAGGGAGAGCGAACTCTCCCCACTCTCAACCGTATCAGGGCATTTGGGAGCTATCTTGTAGCGCCGTTACAACTAATTCACAAGTTGTAAATCAGTTTGACTGTACGAGTTTTCGATGCAGACAGTTTTTTAGTGTTAGTGACAGATAGCATATATCTAGCTGATAATGTCCAAAAACTTTGTCATCGATCAACTTTGTCTTTGACGGATTGTTTGCATTAGTGGTAATAATGTTTCGGTATATCTTATTCTGACCCAAATCCTAGACATAATTATCCTGTATAACTTGGTATAACTAGTCGGCTCTAATACCTTTACGGTTATAATTGTCAACAATGTAAAAGCAGAGATATCGAAATACAGAGCGTTAGAGAATACTCCCTTGTCAGTCACGCTAATCAAGGAAACCAAACCAAAAGCAAAGGAAAGATAAAATAAGTGTGATGTATGGTTTATTTTGTTTGTTCAGTATATTATGTTGTGTAGTGTGTTGACTATTATAGTGATTAACCATTGTGTGAATCCTGTGACTTCATGTGGTTCAGTTACTTAATGAGATACGAGGAACAAACATACAAAAGATCACATATGTATGAAAATTTTATACGGATTAAATCTTATAACCAACTGCCTGAATACATATAAAATATTTAGTAAGATTAAAATGGCACATACGACTTTCGCAGAGATGCTCGATATTATGTATGCAAGTTTTGTACAAATTTGTAATGTAAATGCATTGTATGACCTTTGCGTTGCAAGATCTGAAGACAGTTGTTCCAAGTTTTATCGAAATGCTGTATTTCTCGGAATGTAACAAAATATCTGTCGAGCGGATCATCACACATTGAACTAGGAAGCCGGGGTACAAGGTTAAAGCGTAAATTATTACAAGTTGGTTAAATTTGCCAATGCTATTTATTGTGGTCAAGCCTAATAGTTTGCAATACAACACAAGTTTTAAATCCCTGTTCGCAAGAGTATTTCATGAAATGTGTTGTTTTTTATATCTACCTTGTATCTGTAACTGAATAACCTCATTTAGGGTACCAGTGAAAACTGGGGACGATTAGACACCCGATTCGTCCAACTATTGGACTCCTCATTAGTGCCTGCTCGCATCCCCTCTACATATCGCGTCTATAAATTTCAAGGCTCATGGCAAATCCCGAAACACTAGGACCACTGGGTCGGCGTCCAGTGTTATAATTCCAGCTTCAATCAATTCGCAATATAACGCGACGATCATCCACTGCAATTAGTGACAACTATTTTGTTCTCTAAGCGTCTGGACTCTAGCAGTCACACAAGTTTGCACTAGAATTTCCGAAACATCATGAAGTCCACCACGAGACCTAAATGTTTTGCGTCCCATTACTGATATAGTCGTGTGTACAAATTAAACCTGTCTCCACAAACCCTTTTAACTTAACTACTTCTACAAAATGCTTATTTTCTTTTGTAATCGGTAGAGCATTTTATTAGTTCCTTAACAGTTAGTAATTTAATTTTATTATTATTTTAAAAAAAATAATATATTTTTATTTTGTCAGTATGGAAACATTTCCAGAAGTGGCTTCATTAACTCTTCAAGCTTTATCTGGTCTGTTAGCACAAAAACCATGTCCTTTATCAACTGAACGTTTATGTCAATTATTTGTTGTGAATATGTTCAATGTGGATCGTGCTGCATCTATGACAAATCAAACAAATACAATGAATAATTCTTTAAAAAATCGAATAAATGAATCTAAAATCATTGTGAATAATGATAATAAAATATCTTTAAATATAGGCATGGATAATTTTGTTCCATCTTCACGTCTTAATGAAATTGAAGCATTACGTTCTGTTCATCATGATCATGCTGCACGTTTTGCATTGGACACATTTAGTTTAGTATGCAGAAGAGCAGCACAATTACTTCAAGAGGTAAATAATATTTTCATGTAACATAAGTTTCTAAAAAAATATTTTCGCTTAAAATTATTACATTTTAAAATGTCAATGTTAAGCTTACAGGGATACCTTCAAAATTGTTTAACTGTCAGGGGAATATTACTAAAGACGATTTCATTTTAAACTTGACTTAATATTCATTATTTTATATACAAACACCTCAGGGAGAGTGAGGGCATACAACCACCCCTGTCCATTGTTCCATTCGAGCAGTTGGGTTAGACAAGGTTGCCCAATCTCACCATTCCTCTTCAACTTTGCCATCGATGACATTCTGGAAACAGCTCTGATGGATGTAATTAATGGTGGTGTGGATCTGTTACCTGGAGAAAGACTTCTTGACCTTGAGTATGCGGGTGATATTATTTTACTGTGAGATAACACCCGAGCCATGCAATCGGCACTTAATCAGTTGGCAATCAGTGTCCGTAGGTATGGTATGTGGTTTGCACCTTCGAAGTGCAAAGTACTTCTACAAGACTGGCAGGATTCTAATCCTGTACTCACTCTGGATGGTCAGCAGATAGAAGTAGTCGAGAAGTTCGTGTATCTGGGTAGCTGCATAAGTGCTGGTGGGGGTGTGAGTGATGAGATCAATGCACGTATAGTGAAAGCCAGAGCGGCTTATGCCAATCTGGGCCACCTTTGGCGCCTTCGTGATGTTAGTCTGGCTGTAAAAGGTCGGATTTACAACGCGTCGGTGAGAGCAGTTTGTCAAACCTGGCCTCTCGGAGTTGAGGACGTTAGACGACTCTCTGTGTCCGATCATCGCTGTCTCCGAAGGATTGCTGATATTCAGTGGCAACACCATGTTAGTAATGCAGAGGTTTGGCATCGTGTGTTCGGGCACATAGATGATAATTCAATTGGTGTGACCATCTTGAAACACCGACTTCGGTGGCTTTGACATGTTCTCCGAATGTCGTCCCAGAGAATTCCACGTCGTGCATTATTTGTCGACTCTGGGACTGGTAAAAAAAAACAGTGGTGGGCAGTGTATGACATGGTGTCGTGGTATGAAAGAAAGCTGCAATGGGCTGACTTCTGTTGGTCCTTCACGACTCCGTGGTTGGGGTCTTAGCGATGGTGCTACACAGTGGTTAGAGACGTTATCAGATATGGCTCAGAATAGAAGCCAGTGGCGATCATGCTGTAACCTTCTTTTACTTCGTAAAAAAGTGGTTGTATCTTCGTTAACTGAAAGATTTCTTCTGATTGTACCTTTCCGTTCCCCCATTATTACCACTATTATTATTACACTACCTTACATCGATCTCTTCCTTATTGTTTTTTTAACCCTCCTTACCTTTTTTTCTTTTTCCTAGTCTTTAAATTCTGATTGTTTTGTGTGGCGCATATATATTTGGCGCACTCTTGTACCAATATGTATGTGTTCAAATAAATAAATAAATAATATAGGAAGTCGTTTCCTGTAGTTGTGTCCTTAAATTTATTTTTCATTCCTGTTTGGTCTTTCATACTTCAGTAAAGAGTAATATGTATTAATATATTCGAAACTCAAGTAATCTATTACTTATTCAGCTATAGAAGTGATTTAAAAGTTTCCCACAACTGGATTAGGAATTGCAACATCACCAATTAATCGACTACGACTTAAGTTATTAAGTTATTTAAAGTGTAGCAAAAACTCAGTAGTTAAAACACTTGTTTTTGAATAGTTAGGTCCCGTATTTGAACCTAGTCCCGCCTACTTTGTTTTGGGCAGCCGGGTAGAGCTACATTACCTTACATCTAAGGCTTTACTTCAAGCTGAGGACATATATTTTAAAAAATCACCCGAACTCCACTAGGCTAAAGTTTACTTCCTTGTTGGACTGCATCAATAATAGTTAGGTATACGTTAGAATCATTTACATTCCCGCTCAGGAGTCGCCTATTAGTAGTTAAACGTTTATATGATTACTTTTGTTCATATTATATTCAGTTTTATTATTCCTAAAATACTGTAGCTATTTCATCATAACAACGTTAGGTTCATAAGAACAATTATAACTCAATTGAATATCATCAAGCACGCTTCAATCAATTATATCTTTGTTTTTATGTATACTTTTTATAGACTCCCCCTATGGATGCTAGTCCAGGTTGGTTATCACCAGATGCACGAATTCTTCTTTCCGCATTATGCCTATGGACTGAATGGATGATTTTACATCCTGAACATTGGTTACCACCACCAAATCATCGTGATCCTACACTTCGACCACATTTAGATGATTGGTTACTTGTTGCTAAATTATGCACTGAAGCAGCTAGTTGGCTTGCACGTTTATCTGTTCGACCAAAATATGAAGAAGTTACACCAACAACATCTCTCGTACTTCGATTAAAAGGTGAACTTAACTGTGATGAAAAATTGGATGATGATTCAGATAAATCCTCTACTTTATATCATATCTTTGAAGATGGTAACTTGTATAAAGCTGCTTTTCTTTCTGAAGAAGTATTCGTTGCAGGATTCAAGCCTATGCTTGATTTAACGCCTAAAGTATGTTCTAAGTGGTCTTGTTTTTTTTTAAATAAACTTTTTCAATAGATTTGGGTTTTAGTAATTTCTGTTATAACATTTTCATTTATTACTGAAAATTTTCCCAAAGGTAATTAATACTAATGATATGACTTCATAATAATAAGTTCTGCACAACACTTCTGTTTATTAATTAATTATGAACAGAATGGAGGTTTGTGGAGATTGTAGTGATTTTAATAGTTGAATTCATGAGTCGATAAAAGCTGGACCAATATTGAAAACCTGTAATCACTAGAAGGCCGTTTTGTCCTAGTATGGGACTCCTCAGCAGTGCACATGAGGGGCCCGAACCTAGGACCATCAGTCTCGCGTGCGAACGCCTCAACTTTAGACCACTAAGCCGGCATCCGACGGTGTCAATGTCTAACTTCAATCGATCCATGAACTTGCGCAACCATTCATCCATTGTTTTTGGTAGATACCTGCCTCTACCAGATACTGGTTGGACTTCATTGGTCAATTATTAATTAATCATCTATGTCGACAAGTTAGAATAAACTTTGGCACAAATGCATATCGGTCCCAAGTGTCACTATATCATATCACCATAGTACTATAAAATTAATTAAGTGAATAATAAAATGAATCAAAATTATACCAGTAGTATTGAAAAGACATAAACATGAAGAATTTCATTCGAAGACAAGGAATGAATTATCTGAATAATAACAACAGTAATAACTTTGAAACATGTTGACTACAAAGGATGATTGAATAATAGATAGTTGAATTTGCTCATTCTCAAGTGAATGATTTCTCCATGCACTAGCTGCCAAAGAATCTTCGAGAGAGAATAACAGATTGTTTCTCTTGTTATTGATCAATGAAACACAAAAATAAGGAAAATTACCTTTCGATTGCCTCTAGGAAGTTTGATGATAGTCAGACAATACGGCATGTTTTAGTACTGTTCTTTTTACCAGTGCTTTCCAATTATACTATCTCTTTTGGGGATTATTTTGTTTCATTTATCGTACAGATATATTATTACACAGGTGATTGGGATCCAGAAACTGTGGCAGATTTTGTTCGAATAGAGAAATTGGTTTTATTTGGTGATTATTTATGTGGAATTGAAACGCCTGTATTAAGCTATAATATTGACCAAGCGGTTTATGAATCTGTTATACAACGTGAATCTTCTGAACGTCTTCAAGATAAACGTGTAGATGTTAAGGCAAATATTATACAGAATACTTCAGATATCAGTTTGGAAAATGAGAAGAAACGTCAGTTGGAGTTAACTTCTGTAAGTGGTAACCACATAATTTACAATAATTATATCGGAATGATATTGAATTCCTTATATCTCCTGGTTTCATGTCAGCTACTTACAGCCTCTAAACATAATTTTATTTATTTATTTGAACATATAATTATTGGCACAAAGGGTACCGAATACTATATTATTATAAGCTTCATTCAATATTATATTTTTGGTACAATATAGAATTCTCAGCACACAAAGTATTTCAACAAGTTTCCGCTTCTTACTTCTTGGTCGATCCTGACGATAAATATTGAGTGATCGCCGGTTAGATCTTAGCAGTCCAGTAGACGAACATCTGAATAATGTATATTCTTTTCTCTGCATATTGCCAGCGACCACATTATCTCTTATTGGGCTTTTTGTAACTTTGACAACGAAAGGTTGTATACTTTTCAGAAATGCACTAGGATAGGTTATGCGATTAATATACATAATGGTATATTAAAACAAACAAAAATAGATAACTTGATGAAATATCTAAATAGCAGGAACAGGTAGCCCAGATGATCAGGCAGGCCGCCTACATATGAGCCACATAAATCATTCGATTTGTGTGAGGGCTGTGATACTGTCCTAGTGCCCAAATCGAAGCAGGTGGTTTTCTTAAGGAGAAACATCCTGAGCCTTGACCCTGGAAGTCTGATCCACAAGGGAGTGGAGCATCGTGAGGGGATTCAGTCCCATCGTAGCCGGTGACCAATAATTGGTTCATACGCCATTTGTTCCTTCAGGATACTGGAGCACATGTGCACCATTGATTTGGATTCAGGGTTTCCCAACTCCTCTAGCTGGAGTCTCCGTGTCCACCATGTTGTGACTTTATGCCCGGCTTTTTATCACGTGATTTATCCACCAATCAAAATACTACTTATACACAATCTTAGCACCGTGCCAAACCAATGACGTTTGACCGGTATGAACAGCCTAGCGTCCTTATTGGTCTTATGTTCGCCTAGCCCGTCCACTTGAGTCCAGAACACCAATACCAGCTTCCACTATGTGAATCGAATCGAATCATTTATTTCAGACAAACTGGGCTCATATATCAACCAAACAGACCGCAACGCACAATAAAATAGGAAATAACATTTGTACACAACAAAGCCAAAAAGTGGCTGTGAACGTGGGAGGCAGTGATCAATAAACTGAGCATAGCTTAAGAACAGTAAATCATACAATAATAATATATACGTCAAAACAAAGCTTATAATAAGAGGAATATCGATAAACATAATCTAGTTATTGAATAGTTATACTATAAAAATATATAAATAATATTAGTCCATTAATGGGTCTCAGATGTTACTCGTATTGTAATCTTCACTAGGACATAACATACCAACCCGGTTAAAGCACCGGACATTCGCTTTTCGTCCTCTTGATTTCGTAAACAACACCCCAACCACAAGAAGGCAGTGTGTAGGACTTTCCTGGCAGAGGCTATATATGCGTAGCCATAAACATAATGGTAGTAATCTTTCAAAATCAGCATACATACTTTATATCATCATAACATCGGAAGTGTTCTCATCAATGAAGACTAATGTGAAAAGAGCAATACGTATGAAAGAACGATAAGAGATGTTCATCTTGTTGATTAGTTTGAATATTTATGGGTTGAATATATGATTCTTCTTGAATAAACAACCAAGAACATAAGAAAAGAGAATTATTTAGAAATGACATATCAATGTTATAGTTATGTCATCCATAAAACAAAATTAACTAATTGAGTACAGATCAGCTTAAGAAATGTGAATTACTAATTAGTGTCATGAAAAAAGAATTGCGTAACAAACATTTATGAATAAGTTCACCATGGCAAGATAAGATTGACGACTAAATCATTCTAGATACATAAATTTCACTTAAGTCTTTATATGACAATTGCTTCGACAAACTGTGATAAATTTGACATTCTTTGTTTACTAATTATCTTGAAAAACTTTGAGACATCAACACCATAGTTGTTGTCAAGCAGATAGCGTACAATCGCACTGCTGTTATAACGTATTGTCCTCTGATTTGTAGCTACTGTGGAATGTGTTCAGAGATGCAGATACTAACACTCCTTTCTGTTCTTAAAAGGGAAGTGATTTCATAATAAAATGAAAAATTTAACCCATTGCCTTTGTACACACAGTTCATGCTCCAATTGATAGGCTACTTTGCTAAAACCTATATATACAAATAAATCGTGATAACTTTGGACGAATGGTTTGGAGTCACAGTTCAATATTCTCTCTCATTACTCTCATTTTAAATTAAGGGATTGAATAAACTTTTTCAAACGCACACTTCATGTTTTTAGACTTAATTCTTACCTTATATCATTCTCTCTGGCATGATTGTGGTTTTGCCCCCAAATGCCCTGGTACGGCCGACAGTGGGGAGAGTCCACTCTCCCTCTCCAAATACTCTCACATGGCCATGCGTATATAGCCTCTGACAGGGAAGCCCTACTCACTGCCTTCTCGTGGCGGGGGTGTTGTTTACGAAAATGGGTGGACGAAAAGCGAATGTCCGGCGCTTTAACCGGATTCCAAACCAATGGTACACATGGGACCCAGTATCCTGCGGGAACAAATGGCGTATGAACCAATTGTTGGCCACCGGCTTCCATCGGACTTCATCTCCTTATGATGCTCCACTGCCTTGTGGATCAGACCTTTAGGTCGAAGGCTCGGAGAGTGGCCCCCTAAGGAAACCACCTGCTTCGGTTTGGGCACCCGGGCAGTATCACGGCCCTCACACATATCGAATATGATTTGTGTGGCTCATATGTATTTGGTGCCTCCTTGTACCGATATCTATGTGTTAAAATAAATAAATAAATAATAATTGCTGGAGAAATCTGTAATCTATCGTTGTGCACGATATTTAACTACTAATATTACAATCAGTAATATGTATCGGTTCGTTAAGAAAAACTTTGAATCATGATATTTGGAAAAATGTATGGTCTATTCTTTTTGAGATTATTTCCTTTTTTTATCATTTTACCCTTTTAGTTGAATGATAATAAAAATCTTTCATCAGATGATTGTACAATAGAGTCTAATTCTGTCCTAACGGATATCGCAGCTTTACAACGACAAAGAGCTTTCCTTCAAAAGCAACTAGATGAAGAAGCCCGTCTAGATGCATGGCGTCGTAATGCTATTAGACAAGCAGCATCTGGTGGACAGAGAGCTGTTGAGATTGAAGTTAGACCAATTTATTTATTACCGGATACAAATTGTTATATTGATTGGTTAGAAGGTATTGCTACATTAGCTCAAAAATCTTCAAATTACACTGTACTAGTTCCTATTGTCGGTAAGTTCAATATGAATACATGTATTTCTTAAAAGTTTACAACCCAATTGTATTTTTCCAACAATTATTCATGTATAAGTGTTCTTAACAAGTATGTGTGTGATCAGATTGCTCGAAATGTATTGCGCTAATATGTCACATAGTTCTGATAATGTTCACCTTCTTATTACGCTATCGAAATTTATCAAAGGAACTAATTGCTTCAAACTTATTTATGTGTTTCAAGGTTAATCGAGTCAGTCTATAAGAAACCATAGTCATTTAATGACCCCAGATCTGACTTTGATTTGGACGAACAATTAATCCCTTATATTACACGTAGGTTAACTTCGTTTGATCAACAGCTTTAAAAAGAAGCCAATGACGGATTAAGTTCGATGAATCAATTTCATGCACTCATTCATTCATTCAGACCTTAAGATGAGAATCGGGAAAGCGTAGCGAAACAGACTAGGCAAATGTGCCCACTATATTTGATAAAGCGTGACTCACTATTTATAGTCAGACATGAAATAAGCTAAAGGCAAGTTATGAGTAAAGTGATAAACATACACACTTACGCTCATGTAAAAATAGTCAAGATTATAAGTGAATAGTTGACAAGATCAAAATATGTGTGGATAATGACTCGAGGAGAATTAATCCATCCAAAAGCCAGAATAATCCATGTCGGTATGACATAATACTAGATACCATAGTCCTAGGTTTTGTGCTAGTTAGCACTTGCCAACAAGATATACCTGTAATTGTGAGAGAACATATGCTTCTTGTGAGATTCTGACTTGATTTGTGTCATCTCATAGTTTGAGATTTTATCACTGAGTTAGTAGAGTTATGACCGACATCCGAATGGATTAAATATACATGAGTTTTAAAGAACTGTTGAGGCATGTAATAAAACTATCGAAACTGCATATAAACTTATATAAATATCCAATCAGAGCTAGTCGAAAAGACCATAACATCTGCCTGTGTAGAAATTATAAATACATTAACGTTGTCTTACTGCATAAACTTTATTAATCTGTTGTTTTGTTTGGGATATGTCTATTAATCTACTTTTCTAAGTGGTGCTTTGAGTTGGGAACTAGTCGATCACAGTTCGAGTGATCAAGGAATACTAGGTAATAGAAAAATACTAGATCAAAACAGGTGACTTAACAACCTGTCACTTGAATACATCGACTCAAGTTGAAAGACCATATCAGGACGAGATGAAATTATGAAGATGAATACTAAGTTCCAATATTAGTAATGTTAACGGTAGTAAGAACGATAAGGTATAGAGAATATATGGTTCCATAAGAATGAATTTGTGGGATGAAAAGACTCAAAAATCCAAAAAAGGGAGAACTCCCCTGTACCATTGCGACTGACTCTAAGCTAGGTTGATCGTAATGCACCCCAATATTATGTTGTCTTAATGACCGCCTCACAACCCCTTAGCGTTTGTCAGTTTATTTATGTATGTGTATGGACACACGATTGTAAGCAGGACTAATCGATATATCCATTTGAGTTTGATAAAGCGTATAGCCTACAGATCAGTTTACATCACAGCATGCTGCAACCTCATCAATAGAATCCAGTCAGTATTAAGGACTAGACAAACTTGACATTCATCACTACTTATTGAAATAGCTTGGTAACTTAATTGAAGGGACTATCGGATAATCACTACTGAACATCCATTTACATTGTTTTGATGCATCAAACCTCCATCAGGACGAAAGAAATTTCATCGCATATGATCTTCCAAGCAGTTGAGAACCTTTACAGCTAGAACTCAGCATCCCATGTCTACCCTTAAAAACGTAATTTCTAAAAAATTGCGTCGTAAATGTTACGTATTTATTCCTACAGATGCTGTATTTTATTGTATCTGAGATTTGAATTTGGACAGCCGGATAATGTCACCAACCTTGACTATCTTTCAATAAGAGTATAGTTCAGTTGAGTGCTTAGAAAAAACCTTTCATTTCACTGCTTACTATTATTTATTTGTTCTTATTTTTAGTTGTCAATGAATTAGACACTTTAAGTCGTTTTGGCAGTAGTAGTTCCGGTGGCGGTGGAGTTGATCGTCCATATGAAGCAGCTGTTGGCGGTGAAGTAACACGTGCTGGTTTGATACAAGAACGTGCAAAACTTGCAATCAATTATTTAGAATATCAATTTGATCATCGAAACTCTCGTTTACGTGCATTAACAGCACGTGGTAGTTTAATGGAGACTATTGCTTATCGAAATGAAATTAATGGTGGTCGAACACCTGGTCAAACAAATGATGATGTAATTCTAACATGTTGTCAACATTTTTGTAAAGAAGACTCAGATCGTTTTCAATTAAGAAATCTTACTCAAGGTGTCGATCATTCTATGCAGGGCGATCAAAATAGTAAGTTTGAGTAATTGTTTATATATAATGTGGTTTTTTATTCATTACAATATACGTAGTTCAATTTCAATATTCACTATTAATTTAGAAAATAACAGCTTTTTCAATGATGAATCGATGTCCTATTGTTTCATAAGGAAATCGGTTTTAAACTCATGATATTGAGTGTTCTGACACAGTCCAACCATTTAGAAAGCCATACATACCAATACACGCTGATTAGAATGATAGAATGTTTTTTTGAAGAAACAAGCGATGACCAATATAGTTCAGTTATGTCGGGTATAAGACTGTTATCCACCACGGGTAATAAATGAGGGATGCACAATATCATGAATTGAATCATCAGATTCCGGCTCAGTGACCTAGAATTTAAGTGTTTGTGCACGAGACCTAAGATCTTAAATTCAATTCCTAGGTGTGATGTCCTGGATATGCATTGTTAAGGAGTCCCATACTAAGACGAAACAGGCATCTAGTGCTTTCACGTTTTCAACAGTAGTCTAAGATCAGTTTGTGATTTAAACAATAAAAAGAAATTGAAAGTTTCATGTTTATATCACAAATATGTTCCTGTGTTTTCTTAAATGTAAACGGTTATTGAAGCATACATTTTCAATCTCCAGGATGTATTATATCGGGATCATCTTGCTTGAGTTATCTGGGGGTTAAATAATAATCGTATTATTTTCCCAGCTGTTTTATCATATGTTAAGTGTTTATAACATTGGGCTGTATCTTACCGGGGCGCCTTCATGATCCTACCTGATCTGGGGCGAGAATGATAATGATTGGCTGTCTGCTTAGTCAGACATGTAGATAGTCTGACAAGTGTCAGATGAGTTATATATTCCCCTATCCTTATTATTATTACTCACTTATTATTGATTGTTCATTGTTGTTAGATTGTGTCGGGTTTTTAGTGTGGAAATACATTTACGTTGTGGCGTCAGGCTAATCACGTGTTCTTGATTTAAGTTGTGTTGAAGTCCTGTAAAATAGACACTGGGACGAAATCTAGTGTAGATATTCGTCTAAGGTAAATTAACGTCCCATAAATGTAAACGTGGAAACCCAACCGTTATAACACTGGACGAAGTAAAACCGAGCGTTATAACACTACCCTCACACATATCAAATGAGATCTGTGTGGCGCATATGTATTTGGTGCCTCCTCGTACCAATATCTATGTGTTAAAATAAAAATAATAAAGAATAACGTTCTAGAATATATTAAAATATGAAAAATTATTATTAAAAATCTCTGCCACTCTATGGGTTGTTATTGGAAGATTTGATTATCTATAAAATAATTTCAGAAGAGGTTAAGTGGTTAAACGCTCGCGCGCGAGACTGATAGGTCCTGGGTTCGAATCTCTCGAGGCGAGGTCTTGGATGCGCACTACTGAGGAGTCTTACAATAAGACAAAACGACCGTTCAGTACTTCCAGCTTTTCCATAGTGATCTAGCTTCAATTGACTCATAATTGTTTAATTATATTATTATTTAATTTATTTTATACAGATCAACCAATGCGACTTGTTCGTGAAGTAGTTCTTTTAACTTCCGATCGTAATTTACGTCTTAAAGCATTGAATGTTAATATTCCAGCACGACCTTTAAGAACATTTGTCAATTGGTCTCGATTACCTTTAGTAAAAATAAATTTATCTAATGAAACATTATCTGATACAACAACAACAACACCAACAACTATGAATTCAATGGATAAGCATAAATTATCATCAATAAATCATTCAACTAAACCACAACCTCGTGGTCAATGGAAACAACCATTAAAATATAATTAATTAATTAATTAATTAATTCAGAATTGAATATTTTTAGTTGTTTTTCCTATTCAGCCACCATCCCTTTTTGAAATACTTTCATTCAACATATAGTTTACTCATTAACTTTCACAATATCTTTGTAAAGAATAATAAAGTGTGGATAAAGCATTTCATTTAATCACTATTCAATGTATTCACCTTCATTTATTATTATATATATATATATATATATGCATGACAGGTATTTATGTTTTACTATTGTCTAAGAATTCTTTTTCACTCATATTCTCACATACATCGTTGTTACCATGGTTACTGAAAAAACTGTAAATTATTTTGTAACATTGGGTTCTTTTTTTCTTCTTCTTCTTACGTAATTGTTTATTTTTCTTAGTCATTTATCCATTTGTTCATTCATGTTTGTATAGAGGTGGTTTAGTTTTCTTTTTTTGAACTTATTTATATTCCCTCTGTTTTTCCTCTTGTTTTTAATTACTTAGGTTCTAATAAGACTGTTGAATTATACTACTTATTAATTTGCTACTTACTACTTACAAATCTTAGTAATGAAATATACATATATTTATGTATACATAGTATTTATAAATATTATTTATAATAAAAGTTTGTTCTTATTGAAAGATATTTTCATTTGCATGTTCAGGTAGTTTTTCTCAGCGTGTGTGTGTGTGTGTGAGGGTGTATATGTACTTGGTAACTTTCATGTTGATGATATCTGTAAAATTCAGTCACTTTATCGCATGTATGATTAATCATAGTGATAATGACGTGACTTTAACGAATGAAAATTCAGTCACTCATGAATCTATACTGGTATGCATTCTGTAATTACTTTCAGAATATATATTTATAATAAGTGATATCATTTGTGCCAAATAATATTTCATCTTTTTCTCTGTAAACAATCAATTCTAACACTGGGTACTCAACTATTGGTAAACAAAGAAGTATAATGCTGAAATGTTACAAATACATTCTTCCTTTTTAATGTCTCACATTAACTCGGCGCCCAAATATTGTGAAACTATTCGTTCGAATTTAGACGAATGTTCTTATTGTTTTAAAATGAATGTATTTGAACAAGCTCTTAGAGAGAAATCTGTGCAAACTCATAGTAACACATGCCATGAAATTATAATGCTGTGTTAATGTTTTATCAATCAATTAACATCTGGATACTTACCCTTAGAGTCGTAGATTCAACAATTGATTGATTACTTCTCAGTGACCATTGTCCTATGTGCCTACTTCTTTAATGCTAATTGAATTCTATCGGTCACGTTGTAATCGCTCAGTGGTAGCTTTTCAGATTATAAAACTGTGAGATGGGCTCGATTTCACTAGAAACCATTAATTATTCTCAACATTTCAGGTATGCCTTGCTAGTGATTGTTAAGTAGCACAAAATCTATGCGCAGATTTCCTATCGACTACTTCTAGCCACCTGACATCTTAGTCATATATATTTAAATTATGACCCACACACTTTAGTTTTCCGATGCAAAGTATCACTATACGTAACACGAAATGTATAACTCAAAACTGATTACCCTACTGTTCTACTTGAAAAATAATCAAAATAAGATTGAGCACGGAAACAATTGCATAATAATGGTCAAGACACGCCATACTTCCATCATGTTTCGCTTACCATTATTCAAGCATGCTCCTGATTCCACTTATCAATTGCTGGGTGGTATTCATTATCCAATCATATCAGTGCATTTCGGTAACTTTTCTATTAAATCTGCATCTTAGTGGACGAAGGTTGAGCTCTTTAACCACTAATTCACCGCTCTACTACATAAAGACTACCTGTTAAGAAGTTATCGACCTTTGATAGTATTTGGATCTTGTCATCGAAGTTCTTCTAAAGTCACAGAGATTTGCTAAATTTGAGTTTTATTTGTGAATCGTGGTACTTTATCGTAGTGATCCAATTCAGTCAGTATGTCAAGATTAATATACTCCCTTATTATAATAAGAATAATAATGATAACCTATCATCTAGATCTTAGTAGATCAAATGATTTTCGACATTACAGCTCAGTAGTTGAAAGATAAAGTATTTAGTCAGTTAGTCACAAATTTACTAAGATGGTGGTTGAAGGTAGTCGACAGGACCTTGAACATGGGTTTCGTCCTACTTGGCATTCGTCAACAAGGTGTACCTGTCATCTTGAGGGAACTGATGTTGCCTGATGGATTCGATCTCGTGTCACAGCTTCACAGTCAGAGACGTTGCCACTCAGCTATTCAGGTTGCTGACTGTGAAGTTGCGTGACACGGGACCGAATCCGTCAGGCAACAGCAGTTCCCTCAAGATGACAGATACACCTTGCTAAAGATTACCAAATAGCACGAAACCTAGGTCGGAGGTCCTGTTGACTACCTCTCATCCACTATCTTATCTCAACACGCAATGTCAAGTCACTTAGACTAGTGAGTACATTACAACTTGGTCGATAGGATTCAATCTACATTAACAAGGATCTGACATACATCACATTGACCATCATACAGTGATCAATAAATTGTAAACAAATTTACTATGATGTAGTAACCAGTATTATAGGATTTGTTATCATGTGATGTTCACTGATGCGATGTTCAACGGTATAGGAGTAGATTTCCTGATTCCTCCTTGTCTCTTTTTTCTCTTCCCAAATTTATTCCACTGGATTATACTCTTTAAATAACATCTCCAAACACTAACCTTCCCGATTACTGCTTATAATTTGACTACCACTACGGGGTTTGAACCGACAACTGCATCTCTGTGCTAATGTGGTATGACAACTCGAACTGATGTGTGTACGTACGAAGTTCTACGTTGTTACTGACTGACTGATAGGAGTAGATTGGAAGAAAGCTAGGAGTGACTAGACCAAAACGTGGTAAAAATCCATCAAATCACTGAGAAGTGGACTGAGTTATGTTGGTAGGTGTAGACTACCTGATTGGGATCCGCAAGACGATATCAACCGATGGTTAGAGATCCTGAGTGACATGGCTCAAAATAGTTTGCAATGGCGCAGTTGCATCCACTCTTTGTGTTCTCCAAAATTCTAATCTTTTGAATGCTTCATGTCCCTTTTTTTTTTTCCAAATTCATTTCACTGGATTATGCTCCTTGACTCACATCTTCAAACCCTAATCTTTCCGATTACTGCTTATACTCTAACTACCTCTACCACTACGAAATCTGAGGCGACAACTGTATCTGTGTGCTAAGGTGGTGTGGTAACTCGAACGGATGTACGTACGTGTGAAGTTCTACGTTGTTACTGACTGACTGGCTGATCATGTGATATACATATTTAATTCCCTTTATATATACCTAACAATCTGTTGTATGTACATGATTTTTTTTTCTTCAAACATGTTCATTCATTAAATGCATAACTTAATTTTTTTTTTATATTTTAGATCAATTATGACTACTAATAAAGAAATAGTTCCTCAATCGATCAATCAAAATTCTCTTCTTACAAATTCATCATTGAATGCATCTACAAATGCACGTGAATTATGGGAAACTGATAATAATGTTGAATCAATTTTAGGTCCAATTGATGAATATTTTAAATATGATGTAAAAATTCATCAATCTATTGTTAATGCTAAACCATGGGAAAAAGATCCACATTATTTTAAATGGATTAAAATATCAGCGGTAGCTTTATTAAAAATGTTAATTCATGCTAGATCTGGTGGTAATCTTGAAGTGAGTAAATTTCTATTTTCTATTTATAGTAATAAGTATTATATACGTACAAATAAGTTTTTTTTTAGAAAAAAAACTATTCTACAAATAATTATCAATCAGTCAATTACAATATAGGATCAAGCACATAGATGCATCGGTTCAAGTTGACATACTTCATTAGCATAACAATACACAATTAAAGACACTATTTCATCATTGATCACTGGCTGTTTGATTACAGTTAAATGTTGTTAATCTTAGGATAATCCTCATACTAATTTATGATCCCTTTTTTGATCCTAGTTCGTAGGTGAGTTGTCTCAAGTTAATTTAGCTTCGTTCAAAGGTCATCTCATCCATAATACCTAGAAGTTTACAGTCATCAGAATAAGTTGGTACTTTCGAAAATGTTAAGCCTTCAGAAAACTACCTACTCTCTGCGCTTTTCACTGCGCTTGAACTTTTCAACGGAGGCTGTTTTCTATTTGAACACAATTAAAGACACTATTTCATCATTGATCACTGGCTGTTTGATTACAGTTAAATGTTGTTAATCTTAGGATAATTCTCTAGAATATCAAAGCATATTAAGAATCAACTGACTCATGAGTTCAATCTGTGAAAATTTCTAAAAATCCCCACAAAACACATTCTGATAATAATAATCACCTGCTCACTAGTGACTGACTTCAGGAGACACTTCTGGAGTTCTAGTGAGAAGTCGTTACCAGTGGAGTTCAACCAGGTCTGTTGTGAGATAGGAACTCACTGAAGACATTGGTGTACGGTAGCGCAACTTCGTGGATTGGTTAAAGTTAGACATTAACACCGTTGGATGCCGGCTCAGTAGTCTAATGGTTAAGTGCTCGCGCGCGAAGCCAGTAGGTCCTGGGTTCGAGCCCCGGGTGGTGCGGGATCGTGAATGCGCACTGCTGAGGAGTCCCATACTAGGACGAAACGGCCATCCAGTGCTTCCAGGTTTTCAATGGTGGTCTAGCTTCAACTGACTCATGAGTTCAATCTGTGAAAATTTCTAAAAATCTCCACAAAACACATTCTGATAATAATCTTTTTTTTGTTTTGAAAATTGTACTAAAAATATAATAACCATATGGATAGGATACATATCCGCAAATTGTTTAACAAATCTGTTCTAAATGCGTCGTGCAATATCGTAGCATTGTTCTACTCATTTAATAAGTGAATACTGTATATGAAAGTATAATTTTCATTGGTGATTTCATTTCAAGCACTAACTTTCACTTTATTTACTTTTCTCATCTAACATGTTGAAATGCACTACAATAGTGTGTTCATAAAACATATATGTAGATAGATTTGGATAGATAATTGAAATAAAGTCTTAAGTAGTGAAAATTACACTCTTCTATACAGCACTAACATACTAAATAAAGGGGAAAATTCTCAAAAAATACTAAATATTACAGATGGTGGAGAAGTTTATGCTGATGATGTCGATGAAAGCCCCACGACCAAACCATCCAGCTCAGAGAACAAAACTCCATCAAAAACTAAATATTACAGTTTGAACATTGAAAAAAAGATAGTCATCTTCACACAGGAATATATATCAGCTACAACGTAGGACCAAGCACATATACCCATCGGTCCAAGTTACCACACCTCATTAGCACAACAAGATGAACACTAGATTCATAGAAGTAGTTAATTCAGTGGTGGTAATATATAAAAGAAAGATTGCATATAAGGATATAGTACATGAAGAAAGAATTAGTTCCTAGAAAGAAAGTTATGAGGCGATTGTAATATCATAGTTTATAAGGAAGATAGACAGTGTATACACCTACACCACTGTGGTCGATCCTGAGCCATGTCACCCAGATTCTCCAACCATTGGTCATTTGTTTACATTTAATTGTTTTGAAAAAA